ATCAAAGAATATCTGCAAGAACCACTTATCCTCATGCCTCCAGTTGAAGGAAGACCCTTGATCATATACTTGACAGTGCTAGAGAATTCTATGGGGTGTGTTTTGGGCCAACATGACGAGTCTGACCGAAAATAGCATGCTATTTATTACTTGAGCAAAAAGTTTACCGACTGTGAAACCAGATATTCACTGCTCGAGAAAACTTGCTGCTCTCTAGTATGGGCTGCTCGCCGACTAAGACAGTATATGTTGACTCATACCACTCTGTTGATTTCTAAGATGGACTCAATCAAGTACATCTTCGAGAAACCTGCTATTTCTAGACGAATATCTAGGTGGAAAATGATCATAACTGAGTACGACATTCAATACACAGTGAAAAATGCCATCAAAGGAAGCGTATTAGCATATCATTTGGCCCATCAAGCTGTTGATGATTATCAGTCTATGAACTTTGACTTCTCGGATGAGAACATCATGTTGGTAACAGACTGTGTGAAACCTGGACCGTATGACGGACCTGAACAAGGATCCCGGTGGACTATGGTCTTCGATGGAGCTTCCAACGCCTTGGGTAACGGAATTGGTGTTGTGATCATCTCCCCTGAAGGTTACCACACTCCTTTCACTGCCAGACTATGCTTTGATAGTACAAACAAAATGGCTGAGTACGAAGCGTGCATTTTGGGTCTGAAGGCTGCCATTGACTTGAGGATCAAGCATTTGAATGTGTTTGGGGATTCATCTCCAGTGATTAGCCAAGTAAAAGGAGATTAGGATAATAAACACCCTAATTTCATTCCTTACAAGGAACTTGTGCTATCTCTGATTCCTTACTTTGAAGAGATCACCTTTGAACACTTCCCTAGGGAAGAAAATCAGTTAGCCAATGCTTTGGGCACCGTGTCTTCTTTGTTTAAGGTCAGATGGGACAACGAAGCTCCTATGATTACCATTGAAAGGTTCGACGAACCCGCACTCTGTTGTAAACATGACACTGAAACGGAAAAGCCATGGTACCATGAGGTGAAGAGATACTTTGAGGTACAAGAGTATCTTGAGGGAGCATCCATCAACAACATAAAGTTCTTACAAAGATTTGCGGCCAAATTCTTCCTAAGTAACAGAATATTGTACAAGTGCAACCATGATTCTACTTTACTCCGATGTGTGGACAAGAAGGAGGCAGAGGAAATTATGGAAGATATGCATGATGGTCTTTTTGGAGCTCACTCAAGCGAACATACTATGGCCAAGAAGATCCTGAGAGCTGGTTACTATTGGTCAACAATGGAGACTAATTGCTATCAACATTCAAGAACTTGTCACAAATGCCAAATCTATGTTGATAAGGTCCATGTGCCTCCTATCCCTTTAAACATCATGACCGCTCCGTGGCCATTTGTAATGTGGGGTATTGACATGATTGGAGAGATCAAGCCCACTTCTTCAAATGGTCATTGCTTCATTCTGGTCGCTATTGATTATTTCACCAAATGGGTCGAAGCCGCCTCATTTTCCTCAGTCACCAAGAACGTGGTAGCCAGATTCATCAAACATAACCTCATCTTCCACTATGGTATCCCCGAAAGGATCATCACCGACAATGGGACTAACCTCAACAATGATATGATTACCGAACTTTACACTCAGTTCAAGATCAAGCACCACAATTCTTCTCCTTACAGATCTAAAATGAATGGCGCAATTGAAGCGGACAACAAAAAACATTAAGAAAATTATGCAGAAGATGGTAGTAACCTATAAGGATTGGCATGAGATGTTACCGTTTTCTCTTCACGGCTACCGCACTTTAGCTAGAACATCAACTGGGGCAACTCCCTTTTCTTTAGTCTATGACATGGAAGTTATTTTGCCAGCAGAAGTTCAGATTCCCTCACTAAGGATAATGAATGAAGCAGGCCTAGGCGAAGATGAGTGGATTAAGACAAGATTGGATCAGTTGAACTTGATTGATGAGAAACAAGTGGCTTCTATTTGTCATGGTCAGACGTAGCAAAAACGTATGATCAAGGCTTTCAACAAAAATATCAAGCCTCGAGTATATCAAGCTAGTGACTTGGTGATAAAGGGCATCATTCTTCCACAAGGCGACCCCAGGGGCAAATGGACTCCCACCTACGAAGGGCCATTTGTTCTCAAGAGAGTGTTCTCTGGCGGTGCCATGATGTTGACTACCCTGGACGGTGAAGACTTCCCACATCCTATGAACGCATACATAGTTAAAAATACTACGCATAAAGGACCCGCTAGGTCGACACACCTAGGCAAAATAAGGGCATCCTGGTAAACCAAAAGGTTTGGGCAAAAATTAGGGATATATGCAAAAGATTGTACACCCGGCAAGTTGAAAACCCGAAAGGGAGACTTGGGCAAAAATGGGTATCCTGGTGGGCTGAAAACCCGAAAGAGCGGTCCAGGCAAAATTTAAGGATTGAAAGCGTATGACTATGTCCCGTGGAAGCACCACAGTCAACTTTATCACCAAGGTCTGAGTTCAAACGGTCCAAGATCAATCCAGTCAACTTCTGTCAACGGTAAGGGGCATTCGAAGACATTGGGGCAATAGTAGAGTTGGAATGCAATGAGATCATTTCCACATGGCTATTTGTTTTTTGTTTTCAATCTTTGTTTTCCTTTCGACAATTTCCTCTTACTAGGATCTTCGTATCTTTGTACAAAGACGCCTATTCATGGGCAAAATATCAATACAAATATACTTTAAAGTGTAAACTTTCTGTTTTTTGTTTTGAGTGCAAAGTTGTCCAATGACTAAAATTGAACAAACATATGCATGTGAACATAATTAAAACTATTTGGCACATGTGTCCTGCTAAGCAGCAGCAGCAAGCATCACTTTAATGTATATGGAATATCCCCAGAGTTATTTCATAATCATTATCCCCACAAGACCAGCTACAATAAACCAATCCTCCATAGAGTTGCTCACAAAATCTATTTGCATAGGTTGATCTCCAACCAGAGTCTCAATCTCTTGACAACTCTCTCCCCAGCTAAGTTGATCCTACAAGAAGAAGCCTTATGGATATATTCCTCAAAGAACTCACCTCGTCAGCAGTTCATCAAGTATTCATCAACAAGGTTTATTTCCCCAACAGGGTTTATTTCCCCAACATATGACATACAATAATCAACGAATAGCCAAATTCCTCCGACATAGTCTATCCTCCCCAACCGAGTCTGTCTTCCCCGTCTAAGTATACCCTCTCCATCTTGAGTTTTCCTTTCATACTATTACAAATCAGAGGGCCACAACCCCTAATCCATACTAAATTCATCAACAAAAGTCTTTACTATCTCCAAAAGTTGTTGTGAAGCCTGGATCCGACCAGATAACAGTCAACTTCATTCATTCAAAACACTGTGAGGCATGGACCTGACCAGATATTAGTGTAACTTTTCAAATACTATGAAGACTGGACCCGACTAGATAATAGTACAAATTTCCAAATGCTATGGAGACTGGACCCGACCAGATAATATTGTAACTTCTCTAAGTACTTTGAAACCTGGACTCAACCAGAGAAGGGTTTAACTTCTTTTCCCCAGTAGAATTTGCCTATATCCCAACAAATTATTGTGAAGCCTGGATCTGACCAGATATCAGTTTTCAACTTCATTCTTTCAAGCAAGTTATTGTGAAGCCTGGATCCAACCAGATAGCAATTCCGCTCAGAAGTTCATTGTGAAACCTGGAATCTGACCAGATAACAACTAAGTTCCCAACAAGTTACTTTAAAGCCTGTATCCGACCAGATATCAATTCAACTATATTTCTTCATACAAGTTTATTTTGAAGCTTGGACTCGACCAGATAGCAATTAACTTCATCCACCTCAAAATCTGTGAAGCCTGGACCCGACCAGATATCAGTTTAACTTCGTCTATTCAAGCAAGTTATTGTGTGTAATACCCCAAATTTGTCCTACCCCTTTTACTTCCTATCTGGCTTACGCATTTTTGCATCTTTCTCACATTAGGTCATCTAACACATCATGCATCATTAATTGATAAATTGGCATAAGATCATGGATTTCGAGGAATAAGGGTTGGCGTATGGCTTTAAGGCTCCCATCTTCGTGCAAGCTTGTTTCGGTTGATTTCTCCATTAATAATTTGTTTAAAGCTAGGTTTTCATTTCATGGACCTTATCATCATCAAGCTACGAGGCTATTCTTTCCTTCTCAATGTCAAGTTGCAAGGTTTTATGAGACGAAGCTAAAAATCAGGTTTTATACATTTTCATACTTGAGCTTGTCAGCATTCTACCTGAGGTTCATTCCATATCAAGGTATTCGCATGTCTCATCTTTCATATTCATCTGCAAAGAATCCCTCAGGGCATAGTCATTATCATCTATTGAGAAGAGGTCCAAGACGTCGTTGTTCTAGTGCTCATATAGTCGGGATATGGTACAAGATGTTGATTGTGATCAAGGTATCATTATTTCAAATGCTTATTGCTTGACACACAAGTTTGGTTTAGATCGGAAAATTGAATTGAATTAGGGGTTCACTGAAGCTGTGGTTTGATTAGAATTCATTCATCAATATTTGAAGTGGATTTGGAGAAAATCAAAGTTCTTAAATATTTGCGTGGCTTTTCTTAGAATTCAAACCACAAGTATGAAAAAGCATGCATCAAATTCACCCAACCATCAAAATATTGTCCAAATAGCCTCTCTTGGATTCATTCAAGATTCATGTCTCTTTTGGGTACCTTGCAAGTATTTTGGATTCATACCATTTATTTGAATTCATACAAAGGCCATTTCATTATGTGGAAATAAAGTCAACATACATTCCAATGTGTATTCAAATACATACAAGTCCGAATTCCATTACAATTATACATAACATCTATACATTTTTACCAAAACCTATCCTAATTTTCAATCATTCTTCATGTTTCAAACTTCAAGCTTCCAAAACTTCATATTATGCGTCTTTGTTCCAACTTCATATCATCTTGGTGTTTTCCTTTTGCCTTTGCTTCCCAATAGCCTTGATATCAACCAAACCTGCAAAAATATTGGATAAACCGTCATAAACATGAACCGCATACACTACACTTCCAATTGTCAAAACCAATTCCCTAACCATTCTCTAAAGGCAGCCCTGCACATAAATTTTATAGCAAAGTAACTTACTGCAATAGAAGACAACAAACCAACTCCTAACCGAAATTAACCAATTCCAACTTTCCATTTTTTCCAACAACCTTTAACCAATCTCTAACAGTTTTCAAAACCATAACCAACTGTCAAACAACCATTTAACAATTTCTAAACCTCCCAACCATTTTCAAAACCACCCTGTAATTGAATCCCAGCTTAACAAAAAAGACCTGCATAATGAAAGGCAAAAACATAACTTTTTTCATAAAACATTTCCTAACAAACTTCCTATCCAAAACCATATCTCAATTAACCAACTTAACAAACCCAAAAACAGTTACAGCATACCTAACATTCAGTAACCAATTCATAACAAACTCTCAAACCTTCTAACCACTTCTAACTGCATAACAAACTGCATCCTAACTTCCTAACAGAATTTTTGTTAATCAACCTCCTAACTATAAATAACAAAACTTCCAGCAAAGAGGGAGAACACAAATAGATCAAAAGGGCAGGGGAGAGAGGATTTAACAAACATGTAACAGATTGGGAGCAGGGAGAAATTATTCACAGGATACGATTATTCATAGAAAATCTCAGAGAAGAACTGCAAAAGAACTCACCAGAAAAATCTTCAGTCTTCACCTCTCTGCACTCTCATTTTTCTCAGCATCACAATAGTATCAATCATATATCTGCTTTATAATCATCATTTTTTGCGCTTCAATCTTCATCAGCAAGACGTGAACGTTGTTGCAGCTTCGTGTCATCATCAACCTTCGTCGTTCTACATCATCTTCATCGTAGCCTTCGTCATCAACGACCAACCCTCTGCAACAATATACAATTCCATATCAACGGAGTTTGCATCACAACAATACGGGCACCACTTCAACACAGAAAAAAGAGGAGAGATCAAGAACTCACCACAAATTCTCAGAACCAACAGAATCGCATCCGAATCTTCCATAATCAACGATCATCTACTTCATTCATCTTCCGCACTGCTCCTAACGTCAGTATCTTCTCATCATCACGTACAGCAACGCCTAAACAACATGAATCTGTTACAATTTTAATCTTCATCATCTTCGACCCTCAACAACACACGCACAGAATCTCAGAATCGCATAATTAGAAGCAGAAGAAAGAAAAGATAGCACAAGAACAAGAAGAAAAGGCATGAGCAATTTCGTACCTGTGGAACCTCCTCTTTGGTTTTCTCTTCTTCATTTTTCGGATCATTGCAAGTAAGCCTACGTGTTTCACCGATCGATTTAGTGTTGCGCTGAATCCGGAATCGCAAGAGAGATGAGAACGAAACGTGACGGAGGCGAGTGAGATTTGGATCGGTAAGAGGGAGATAATCGGTTGCACGGTGGATGAAGACGGAGCAACGCGAGGTGATGAAGATACCGGCGGCGCCGTTCGCTTCTGTTCGCGAATGAGAGGAAGAGACATTCTTTTCCTTAACCCTAAATTCCTTTTCCCTTTTTTATTTTAATTCAGTTCCCTTTTTGTTTTTTTTTACTTTCTTTTTATATGTTTTAATTCTTTTAATTCAGATAATTATAATATATGTTTTATTTCTTTTAATTCAGATAATTATAATTAATGTTTTAATTCTTTTAATTCAGATAAATATAATTATAATTATAACTAAATTGATAATTATCAAATATGCTGGAAAATGAGGAATTATTTAGACTGGGCCTCACTTTTCGCTTTAGGCCCGTGTTGTTGTTTTTAGCCTGAAGAAATTGAACAAAAAACTCTTTTGGGCAAATTATTGCACTACACCCCTGAATTCAGCTCATACCTCTTGACTCTTCTAATTTTTTCTTTGCTTTTATTATTTTAGTTTGTTCTTTTAGTTTAATTTTTTTCCTCTCAAATGATAATAAAAATAATAGAATATTTTGGAATTCTTTAGAATTTCGATTAGAATTTTTTCTATTTTATTTTTCATATTCGATAATCATTTTTATTGCCATTTTCTAGTCAAGATTTTTGCAGCATCGACATAACTCTTGCAATGTGGAATGCTCGGGGTGAATTCTTCAATCACTTGCCCAAGGGAACTTTGATAGAATTTTCTTACCGCTTACACAATCTTGAAGAGGCAACGAACCTTCTCCGTTCGGTATCGTCACAAATCTATTTTATTCTTCATTTTCGTACTTTATCGCAAATCATACGCGTGCTAACATTAAGTAGAATTCCCTCAAAATTCTAACTTTAGGTCTAACAACGCACGATAACATCAGGTGTAGAAATAGGCTAAATCCCCTTTAACTTTTCTTTCCCTTTTGCATTCGCACCTAAAACTAAAACTTCTTTTCTCTCAAAATTCAAAACACTTTAAAACTACCGATGAGAATCATGCTTTTGCTTAGTGCGAGAAATAATAAGCGGGTCTCTTCTCGACCTTATCGTTCTTCATCTCAAGCATAGGTGTGGTTCAATTCTCAAAGACTCCTTTCATGACTAAGTAGAAAAATGGCTAATATCTCTCTCTTGAGGTCAATCAGTCATCATCTACAACAAAAATACAAAACAAATTCAAATCTTTTGTGCGCTCGAGCACCATTTCTTTAAAAAACCTTTTCAGGTAAGGACACGATTAATTTACTTCTGTGCCAACGCATAAGTCTCCAAAGGTCGAGCTGCGGCAGAAGGCGGAATTAACTTCGTCCATAAAAAACACAAAACAAACAAAACATGTGAGCCGAACTGGTAGCTCTGATTCCTCAAAAAGGATACGTAGGCATTAGGGTAGGGCCCAGGCGAGCACAATTTTATTTTCCCTACATTCTTTTCTCCTTTCTTTTGCATGCATTTTCCCTTAGCATTAATAAACAGTAAGCATAGATTAAACACACCCATAAGATAGATAACAAGAGTGGATACCGTAGAGTACTACGGGCGTGTGGGGTGCTAATACCTTCCCCTCGCGTAACAGACTCCCTTACCCGATCTCTCGGTTGCAAGACCGTGACTTCTCCCTTTTCAGGTTTTCTCGATGTTTACCTTTCCCTACATGTGGGATAAAAGATGTTCGATGGCGACTTCATTGTTTGATGATTTTCAGCCGGTTGTTTCATTGTGAAGCCTGGAGCCCGACCAAATAACAACTAGCTACAATTCCCAGCAAGACACTATGAAGCCTGGACCCGACCAGATAATAGTATAATTTTTCAAAAAAAAACCATGGAGCCTGGACCCGACCAGATAACAGTTCAAGTTCAAGAAATTTTTTGCGAAGCCTGGAATCCGACCAGATAACAGTTAATTTATTCTTCCCCAGTAGGTTACCGTGAAGCCTGGATCCGACCAGATAGCAGTTGACTTCCTTATCCTCAGCAAATTATTGTGAAGCCTGGACCCGACCAGATAACAACTAACATTCAAAAGATATTCTCTAGTGGAAGCATCCTTTCAACAAAGTATGAAGATATGTATACTCTTCATCCCCCAACAGCAGTCTGGGATTCCGCTTGACAGAACTTCTCAACAATAGTCAAGGATTTATTTTCCCGGACAAATATGCATCCCATATTCATACATCATAGCATATACAAAATTCATTTAGCATGATCTCGTTCATCTTGTGAACATCATGCATACATCTGAATTTCACTAACCCCTTTTTCCCACAGGTAAAACATCAAGTTTTAGTCTAAATCGACCAGAGATTTATACTAATACTTATTCCAGTGTTTACCAACATTCCTCCAAATGGCATCTATAAGCCCATTCCCAATCCATCTTCGAGTGCAAATTTCTGGGCACTCTAGTGTTCAATCATCTTCCACCTTCAAGTCACGAATGCCGGATCCGCCAATCTAACTCTTCAGGTTTAAGAAGATTAAACAGGGGAAGCTGTTGTACCCCAAAATTTTTCCTCTCATTTCTCAAGAAATATCTCATAAGATCTCCATTAATTTAAGACTATATAAGGTTTGATCAGCTCAAGACACCTCCTTAAGCACTGATGACTAAAATTAGGGTTTGAGTTTGCACAAGGACAAATGGACTTTTAATTCCCCATATGACTTTCATGGATCATTTTGGACCCTCAAGATTGTTCATGCCAAGTTTCAAGCCTTGGATCACATTTTTGCTCAGTCAGTTGATCAGATGACCTAAAATCAGCTGTATTGGGGGAAAAGTCAATTATGGTCAATTTAAAGTCAAACTTCATAATTTTTTATCCATATAAATATCATGAACTCATATATGTCATTTGATCAAGTTTGGATCACAATTCCCTAAGAAATTTGATCAGGTCATTACAAGGGCAAAATGGTCAAAATTAGGGTTTTAACTGAGAAGGTGCAATTTTTGACTTTTAACCTAGCCAATGACTTATTGGTTTAAGACATGATCTCAAGGATTCAAATACTTCATTTTTACATAATGGCATGGCTCAAAACATTTCTCAAGATCAATTGATTGATAGTTGATTTTCAGTCAATTGGTTTCAAAGATTACAATTCATCAAGACATGGCAAAACATGAAACTTGTTCATCAAGAAATCAAAAAGTCAAGATTTCATTTTTGAAAGGTCAAAATTTCCAAGACTTAGAATTTTTCTAAGTGTTGAAAATTTTCATGTTTTTTTCATAACTTTTGCCAAATTTACACCATGATGCAAGATGATTCAAAGGAAACTTCCAACAGGAAAGTTGTAGATCTTAATGAGATCTAAAACATTGTAGGGCATAACTTTTCCTAGAAATGCTTAGATTTAAAGTTATGATTTTGTGAAGACATGTTCATGAAACTTGAAAAAACTTAGTGGAATTTTGCCCTAGTTTAGGCAGGATTTTGACCTAACTTCATGGCAATTTTTCACATAGTTCCAAGATGAATCTTCAAAAATGTCCAACATAGAGGTTGTAGAGGATGTTACAAGATTTCCAAAATGTCCAATAAATCATTGAGATCATACTTGATCTAGGAGAATCGAAGGCAAGAAGTTAGGGTTTCAAACTTGAATTACAAGCCATTTCTTGATGAACACATAATCCAATCTCAATGTTAGGCTGCATAATCTTGCTTTGCAGGCCTTCTAACTTGTGTATCTATCCATCATTAATGGATTACACAAACTTTTGAGCTATAATCCAAATGGTTTAAGCATTTTCCAATTTAATTTGCCATTTTGGGAAGAAAGTTAATAATGCCATTCTTCAAAAGCAAGCTTTATGCACAAAGTCAATTCTTGAGCCTCTCACTTGTTCCCTCTGATCACACTCCATCTACAAAGTCATAAGCAAGTTTGTTTAAAGCATAACCACTCTACAATAGCAAGTACAAAAGGCATTGAAACTTGATTTCTCAAGAAAATCACATGTTGAGCTTAAACATGTGATTTTGAATTCTGATCAACTACCTGTCTCCAAACTTGTTGCTTATAAATAGAGGCCCTATTTGAAATCTAACACACGAGCTTAAGCACTCTGAAACTCTCCCAAACTCCCTCAAATTAGAACTTGCATCAAAACTCCTTTTGTATGCACATTCTGACTTTGAAACCAAAACTCACATTTCCCTCGTATGTTTTCATTCCTAATCAATCACCAAGCTCCTACACATCAAATATAGTCCATCCATGTCTTTGTTTCATAACTGTAACTCCATCTCCATCATCCTCCATAACCAAAAATAGAGCACTGTAAGTTGACTTCTCCAGGCAATTCCATCCACCCATTCCTCAAGCTAATCATTGCATTAGCTTCCTGGGAACTTGAGGAAGCTAACCTGATCATTGCAGCACCTTGAATCAAGCTCATTTGCATTTCACGATTTCAAATTATGAGAAATGAGCAAGTTACAGGAACCATGGCTGGAGGTTGAAGATGAAGTCATTTTTAGGACTGGGTTTATGTTATGTATTATTTGTTTTGCTTATGTTACCGGATGTACAGCCACCCCAGTGGCAAAGGCAACGCGCGTTTATCTCAAGGTCACGGGTTCAAGTCCCAGCGCTGCCTTTTGTTCAATTTTTCAATATTTTCCTTCTTTTTTGTCACAAACAGGCGCGTTGGGCCTTCCGCTGTGCCTTGTCATTTTTTTGCTACCTTCCAACCCCTGCCTTCACTTTCACACACATGGCTCAAACATTTTTTTATTTTAATTTAATTTATTTTCTTTTTCTTATTTTATTTTATTTGAGTTTTTCTTTATTATTTTTATTACTATTATTATTATTATTATTAATAAAAAATCCAAAAATATTTTATTTGTTTATTTACATATTTAAAAATGCTTTTTATTTTACTTTCTTTATAAAGACAAAAGACAAAAAACATTTTCTTAACAAATTTAATTTCTTTTTCTTAATAAATAATAATTAGATTTAGATTTAGTTATTTTCTTTTTCTTAATTAAAATTAACTTAGAACTTAAATTTCTTTTAATTAATTAATTACCATATTATTTTTATTAAGTTTAA